AAACTATCCTTTTGGAAAACAATGGTTCAAATATCTTTGGTGCCAATTGGATCCCATTGATGTGAAATTATTTGTTGAGGTTTTCAGAAAATGTTGCTAAATATCTTACGATTGGATCAGTTTCAACCTTAAACAGATATAGAATTCCCATGTAGCATATGTTTATGCTCTCATTTTCCATCAAATAATCTCCATTTACCTTTGTTCTAGACATGGACAAACGAACCCACACGATTTAGCATCTGACAGGACATAAGATAAAAGTCAATAAAAAGAGAATAATTTATTAAAAAGATCTAATGTTACAAGAACAGTACACAGGAACCAGTATTTTACTGTGTCTCTCACATAGTATATACCATTATATATAGTAAATATATACAAGTTGTATACAAGTTTTCTAACATTTTTGAGTTGGACCTTGTTTTTGGTTTCTAAGCCAAGATTGTTTTATTTCTCCCTTTCCAATCACATTCAGTTATTAGGACATTATACAAAAATACAGTCTTTCTAGTTATGTTGGACTGTTTTGTTACACAGTAATCCAAAGAAACTGTAATATATGAATGAATTCACATGTTTGCAGTCAACAAACCTACTGTGACAATATTAACAACAAATTAGGATCATGACATGGAGATGTTGTCTTTGATGAAGTAATAAATATGGTAATATGGCAATAACTAAAAAATAACATTGCTTATTAATAGACTATAGATGCAAAATCTAGCTTCTGTCCAGGCATACCATATACCTGTCTATCTTTGTAGTGACCCTACATGAGGCTGACTTCAGGGCAGTTAAATAAATCATGGTCATTCAGATGTACCATGTTAACCAAGGCAACTTGTACTCCTCTGCTTATGGTAGTCTGCTACAGTAGATCTTACTGATGACAGAAATCCAAAATATTATTGGTCATATACAGAGATGCTGCAAGTGTGTGAGTTCACATTGCAGGTGATGAAGTGCCAAACATGCTTTATCAAGGGTTCTAGTTCTCTTCAAAGAGCTTTTTTTAAAACATGCCACTCACCATTATCCTGAAAAATAAAAACAGAAAACGTGCTGATCCTGATGGGGAAACTCTAGCATGGTGTCATTAGGAAGTGATTTATGGACAGATGTCGTAAGAGTATAAGAAGAAGAAAAGGTGATATTTGCTGAAATGTAACATGGCTGGATGATCACATTTGAAGGAAGCCAGATAGCACAACTTGATTGTACTGAGACCTATTAAAATCTAGAGTCAAACAGTAGAGGTCAGTGGGACTTACTCATGTTTAACTTAAATACCACTGATTTCAACAGCTCCAGTTTTCATCTGGATTTGATGACATGTTTCCATCTAAGGAACCCTCTTTCTGAATTCAAGTTCATTGTCTAAAATGAATTAACTTACTGGCAAGTTCAGTTTTTTTTTTACAATATTATTGTGGAGGGGTGGAACCCTCCACAAACTCATACATGATAAAGTTCTTATGCTGATAGCAATGAAATATTTTGACTTAAAGAGGAATAATGTTTTATGTCTTGATATTGATAGCTCTTCCATTTGCTGCTTTATACTGCTAGCAATGACTGTTCACCCTACTTTCAGAACACTCTTCTAAGAGCAACTTATAATTGAAAAGTTATCTAATACAGGTGAGCTTCACTGCTAAAGACTAAGAAAAACGGAAAGCTGTAGCTGTAAAGCCCATCAATAATTAGCAGCAAAGTTGAGGAGGTATATAGATACAGTGGTCACACTATATTTCCCCACTATATTTTGTAATTTTCCATCAAATCATAGAATTGGTCACTCTATGTGCATCTCCATGTAAATATTACAATATGTAGATTTTAGTCATGTGTAAGTTACCACCATAGCTCTGGTTTCATGGTTATGTTTAAGTAAGGCACTGGTTATGATACCTAGTTGGGTAATGAAAGCAAACAACCAACCAACTCGGAGAGTACCAAGTACTCTGAAGTCTAACCCTGAGTACAAATATTCTCTTATTGGTAATGGTTAAGTGACCACAACATGTTGAGAAGGATGCAATAAAATCTAGGATTTTCTAATAATCTCATCAGAGGTCTAATATAACCCAATCACTCCTGGATTTGTCACTCACCAATCCCATCTGACCATTCTGAGAGGGTCTAAATGAAAATCTAATTTTCATTGTAGGAGTGGTAAGCTTCTGATATACTTTGATGATGTTTATCCTTTTGTATTTTACTGAAGTATGAGCCAGCAGTGTGCTGCAGCTACCAAAAAAGCCAGTGCAGTCCTAGGCTGCATCTAAAGAGGGATAGTATCAAGGTTACATCACTGGTAAGACCACACTTGGAATATCGTGTCCAATTTTGATCACCACGATACAAAAATAGATGTTGAGACTCTAGAAAGAAGGCCGAAAGGAGCAACAAAGAAGATTAAGGGACTGGAGGAGGTTAAACAGTTGTGAGAACTGTCTCTTGTCCATCAAAAAGAATGATTAGGGATGATATGATAACAGTGTTCCAATATTTGAGAGGTTGTCTCAGAGACGAGGCAGTCTATTTCTTATCTTAAGCACTTGAGGGTAGGATAAAAAGTAACAGATGGAAAGTTATCTCAGGAGAGAATCAAGCTAGAACTAAGGAGAAATTTTCTGGCAGTGAGAACAATTAATCAGTGGAATGGCTTGTCTGCGGAAGTTGTGGATGCTCCATCACTAGAAGTTTTTATGACCAAACAACCATGGCACAGGTCTCTTGCTTGAGCAGGGTTTAGACTAAAAGTCACCCAAGGTCCCTTCCAACTCTAATATTCTGTATTCTGTATTCAAAAGCAAATTGTAGTAAGAGTGGGATGTGCTGTCAATACAAATTATTGGTTATGCAAAGCCAAGTCTCTATGTACCTGTGAGCATTTCCACAACCTGCACTGGAAAAATATTTCTCTTCTAAAGTAAATTTATTTTGCTAATATAACACCATAGGTTCCCCCCCTCATCTTCCCCCCCCCCATTCTTGAAATAGGATGGTTGAAGAGAATAGGAAGCAAGGGATGGGAAGACCACTATAAAAAAAGAACCCAGGGTGCAAATATTTGGGTTGTGGGTGAGAAAAAGACAGTTTATCTTGAATATAATGTAAAGTTTCATTATATGTTGTGGAAAAAAAGAAAGCATAATGAAGCTACTTCTAGATCTCTTAAGTATGTGAAGGGAAGCTTTACATTAGTATTCATTTATTCAAATTCTCTGGCACTATCCATTTTCTCATGAGCTCTTTTCAGCCCCACTGTGATAGAATGCCATGGTACAGAAGTAGTTGCATATGAGAAAATAACATATACAGGCACACGGGGAGAAGGCAGGGGCAGAGGAGGAGGAGGAGGAGGAAGAGAAGAAAGAGGAGGAGGAAGAGAAAGAAGAGGAGTAGAAGGAAAAGAGAAAGAGGAGGCGGAAGAGGAAGAGAAGGAGGAGGAAGAGAAGGAGGGGAAGGATTAGGAGGAGGAAGGGGAAGAGGAGAAGGAGGAGGAAAAGGATTAGGAGGAGAAGAGAAACAGGAGGAGGGGGAGATGACAAGAACTAAAAGTTGATCCAACACTACTTGCTGTTTTGAAGCTAGACCTTGGATATGGAAAGGTTAAAGGCTTTGATTCTTAAGCCTGAGAACATTAAAAGCATTTGCCCAACTGTATCCTTTTCATTTTGGACATTAAAAAAAATGTCCTTGCTTCATATTAAGTACAATCTAGGCACACCACATTGTCCCAATCTTGAAATGCTTATTGATACCATTTTGCTAAATCACCAAATATAGACAGTACAGTACCATACAAAAATGAACTACAAAAATAAAGGTCTAAAGACAGAAAGCTGTTTGGGGAAGACAGCTTTGTCTCTCTTCATTGATTTCATATTTGCAGTTAGCAATTGCTGAAGACTCAGATTAAGTGTCCAACAATAATTTCAGTGTCATCTGCGCTCCCTATCATGGACAGTTATGCTATTAAAAATAAGCAAATTTTTTTCTCTCTTATTGTAGTGGACAATAACTAGTACAAAATGATAGGCCTCAATTTTAGACTCAGTTCAATATGCTTCAGATGTACTTGGATCTGGAAAAGTGGTTTATGATGTTCATGGAGAATACAAACAGAGAAGAAAACAGAAGAAAAATTACTATACTATACCAAAGATAATAATTATATGATTTTTTCCCCTTAAAGGCAACATTAGCTACGGTCATTTTTGAAACCGGATCATATCATGGCATTTTTCTCTTGATAAGTAAAAAAGTAAAACAAAACTCAGCCTTCTGAGAAGGGGAGGGATAATTTACTAGAATCCAAATATTTATATATATTTTTCCTTAAAATTGTTAAAAGTCCTTAGCAGTGCAAACAAAATGAATGCACTGTCTCAGTCATTTAATTTACTAAGGGTATAAGATTGATGCTAGCTAATATACAAACAATTACAAAGGTAAATAAAATTTGACATAATTTCCATTTGTTTACAAAAGTTTATATCAAAGAATCTGCATATTTTCTATCGGGCAAAAACATCCCTTTCCCCCAAAAGATGACAATTATGGAAACCAAAGAGAAGACACCTGGTGGATTATTTTTGTGTTATTTCCTTCAATATTCTTCCTGATGGACTAGATCCATTTCTGAAACATTCCTTTGATATATCTGTGGAGATTTTCAGTCATCCAGGTCATAGTTGTCTCAAAGGTGTGTTTTCAAAAGGCAAGTGGACTATCTTTTTTCCCCAAGGAAGAAAAAGAAGATGTTTTGCTTCTCATCCAAGAACCAATGAAGCTTTTCGGATGAGAAGCGAAACGTCTTTTTTTTCTTCCTGAGGGGAAAAAACCCCAGTCCAGTTACCTTTTGAAAAAGCACCGTTGAGATTCCTTTGATAATTAACCTTCTGCTTTCTCCTTGGTCGTCCATCCGTTGGTGTTATCACGCCAAAGCAACCAGAGAAATGAGTAAAGTCTTCTATCTTCTTCCTTCACCATGACGTTGAAGGGACCATCAATACCAGTAGAAATGTTACAGTTGATGAAGAAGTGGTAAAAGCATTTAGCCTGGATTGAGAATTTGTGACTTTTCCACCTGATGGGATCAAAACAATGGAAGAAGAAAAAGAACTAATTACTATAATGTTTTGGAAATGGTACTCTGAATTATTTATTATATTCCTCTGGCTCTGAATCAGACAGATTCAGGGTGGTTTACTGAGAAGATCAAAAAATACAGTAACATTACAAAGATGAAACAATCAAGTAAAATGACAATCCACAAAACATAAATACAACAAGACAATAACCTACAATAGTTACACCATCACTCCTATGCAAAAGGCCTCTTCTAATGACCTTCAACCGTAACTGTCTATGGAGATTCTCAGTCATCCACGTCTCAAAGGTGCTTTTTTTTGCTTCTTTTCTTGAGGAAAATAGCTTCTTGGCTGAGAAGCTTTCAGTTCTCAGCCAGAACTGATGAAGCTTCAGTCCGGTTGCCTTTTGAAGAAAAAAAAAGCACCTTTGAGACTTCAACCCTAACATGCCAATATTGAGGTGCAATTCAATGGCAGCCAGCAATGAATAGTCAGCAATATAGATCTTGAAATGGAAATACAGGCAGGGGTGGGATTCAAATTTTTTAACAACTGGTTCTGTGGGTGTGGCTTAGTTGGTGGGCATAGCTTGGTGGTCATATGACTGGGTGGACACAGCTTGGTGGTCATGTTACTGGCTGGGCGTGGCCAACTCAACATCACTCACATTGAGGCACACATCTCCTCGCCTGGCCTCTCATGACTGTGGGGATGCTGCAACAGTCGTAAGTGTGAAAAACAGTCATAAGTCACTTTTTTCAGTGCCATTGTAACTTTGAGTGGTCACTCCACACAAGCAAAGTACCAGCAAAGGAGGGGAAAAAAACTCCAGAGAAGTTCCTAAGACAGGAAGTCTAGTCCTGCCATGAATGTAATAAGGGTTAACGGAGAGGCAGTTTCTGTAAGCAACACCAGAATGTTTCCTTCCTGCCTTCCTTACAGGATTAGGCCAGTAATTTCTTCTAACAACCAGTTCTCTGAACTGCTTAGAATGTTAACAACCAATTCTAGTGAATAGGTGCAAACTGGTAGAATTCCACCTCTGGATACAGGTAGTCTTTGACTTACGACCACAATGGAGCCCAACATTTCTGTTATTAAGTGAGACATTTGTTAGGTGAGTTTTGCCCCATTTTACCACCTTTTTTGCCACAGTTGGTTTTTTTTAAAAAAAATTTCCCAACAAACATAAACAAACACAAACATAAAACAACAAATAAAACCATCTTTCCATTGTACAGTGTGCGGGTTGGTGCATATCTTTTGTGCACAATATCAGCAGTCTTTCCCTTCTAGATTTAAATTATAATTCATATTATATATATTGACTATGCCTATTGCATTATTATTAACACCTTATCAGACTTTAATTATAAATTCACATCTTCTTTTTGAGCAGATCTCAACTATTACATGACCTAATACAAAATATCATTTATTTCATTATGATCAGTTGTAACGTATCATTACCTTATCTTATCATTACTATCATGTTATATTTATTATTATAATATATTTTATTTCCCTATTTTCTTATCTAGCCATTGATAAAATAAATCCCAGATTTTATAATATTCTTTATCTTCTTGCTCTCTAGTTGCTCATGTCAATTTACTCATTTCTGCACATCCCATTATTTTTTTAATCATCTCCTCTTCTATCGGGATTTTTTTCACTTTTCCAATTTTTGGCAAATACAATTCTAGCTGCTGTTAATCTTGCCGCAGTTGTTAAGTGAATTACTGCAGTTTGTAAGTTAGTAACCCTGTTGTTAAGTGAATCTGGCTTCCCTATTGACTTTGCTTGTCAGAAGGTCACAAAAGGGGATCATGTGATATTGGGACACAGCAATATGAACCAGTTGCCAAGCATCTGAATTTTGTTCACCTGATTATGGGGGGATGCTGCAAAAATGGTCATTAACTGTGAAAAATGGTCATAAGTCACATTTTTCAGTGCTGTTGTAACTTTGAACAGTCACTAAATGAATTGTATGTTGAGGACTAACTGTGCTTAGAGCATCTAAACACTTCTCTATCCCCTACCTGCTCTTCTCTAGCCTCTTTCTAGGGTCTCAATATTGTTTTTGTATCCTGGTGACCAGAATTGGATGCCATATTTCAAGTGTGGTCTCAGCAGAGCAGTATAAAGTGGCATTTTCACTTCGCGTGAAATGAATTCAGAACACTGCCACCTGAAAAGGGATTCTCTACAATGGTTTCGCTCCTACAACCTTGCACTGCTCACACAAAATCAGCGTACTAATTTAAAAAGGGTAAAGTAGCTGCTGGAATTAACTTTTCTGAAATTTCAGGGGGAAAAATGTCACAAGCTGAAGAGAACCAGACTGAATATCAAAGAACTGTCTCCATATAAACCAGGAGTGTCAATCTCACGGCCTGTGGGCCAGATATGTCATGCGCTGGCCACTCCCACCTCCGGTTTAGCGAAGGGAAAAAAAGTCACGATACGTCACGTGATGACAACGTGATGCCACGAGCTTGACACCCCAGATCCAAACATACTGTATTAACAGTATATCAAGTCTGATTGATCATTAGTAGAAATACACAAGGTATTCAGTTTTATAGTCCAGCACTCCGTAGAATAGAATAGAATAGAACAGAACAGAACAGAACAGAACAGAACAGAACAGAATAGAATAGAATAGAATACTTTATTGGCCAAGTGTGATTGGACACACAAGGAATTTGTCTTGGTGCAAATGCTCTCAGCGTACATAAAAGAAAAGATACATTTGTCAAGAGTCAAGAAGATAAGGTCTATCTAAGCATGGTGTAAGGTCTAAGCATGGTGGCAGATTAAGAATGTAATTACTGAGAGCCTAATTTTGATCATTGCCTTACCTGAAAAGGATGGTATCCTGATTTGGCTGCTTGGTGTGCCATCTCCTCCTTCGCTCACTGCGCAGACTTCTATGATGTAGACACCTACATCAGGGAGAAGCACCACTGCAGATGTTTTCTGTGTTTCAATTACTTGGCTATTGCTGTGTCCTTCTTGCCTAAACAGGACCTGTCAGAGAACAGGGAGAATTATAGAACTCTAGTATTCAATCATCATCATTTAATGACCCCATAATCCCTTACGGGGTGGAGTCTGAGCAACTGAATGGAGCTAGCAGAGTGTTTCATGGCTGGTGGCCCTCCTATCGCCAATCCAGAGCTTTGTTCTGCAGATATATTATCCTTGTGCCCAGAGAGAGAAATATCTGCCTCTACCTAGGATTGAACTTACAGCCTCCTGATTGTGAGGTGAGAGCTCCATTTCTAGGCCACCGCACCAGAGGTGGTATTCAGCAGATTCTGACCAGTTCTGGAGAACCTGTAGCAGAAATTTTGAGTAGTTTGGAGAACCGGCAAATTCCATCTCTGACTGGCCCCGCCCCCATCTCTTCTCTGCCTCCCGAGTCCCAGCTGATTGGCTGGGTCTTCTTTTGTTGCCCTGCACAGGAGAACAGAGCTGGAAAGCAGGTTAGTGGGGTGGGGAGGGAATGGAGATTTTGCAGTAATTTTCCCCCAGGAGTGGGGAAGAAATGGAGATTTTACAGTCTCCTTCCCCTGCCACACCCATCGAACCACGCCCACCAAGCCACGCCCACAGAATCGGTAGTAAAAGTTTTTGAATCCCACCATTGCACCAATCTAACTTTAGTATTCAGTAAGTATCTAGTTCAAATTCAGGAAAACAGCAACAGAATAAATATTAAGTAATTTAGGATTTATTTGACTAATGAAGGTTCTCTTTTAGTGAGTCATACAAGTTCTATAACAGAATAACAGAGTTGGAAGGGACTTTGGAGGTCTTCTAGTCCAACCCGCTGCTCAGACAGGAAAACCTATAGTATTTCAGACAAATGGTTGTCCAATTGCTTCTTAAAAACTTCCAGTGTTGGGACACCCACAACTTCTGGAAGTAAGCCATTCCACTGATTAATTGTTCTGTCAGGAAATTTCTCCTTAATTCTAGGTTGGTTCTCTCATTGATTAGTTTCCATCTATAAAATAAGCAGCAAAGCATTTGTTGCACCATTTGTTGGCTTATCTTATCACCATTTGTCATGCTAAACTTGTCTATTTATTGTCTATTGTCTATTTATCCTGTCATAAAATTAATAGGCAGGTTGCACATATTAGCCTATTGAGAACCATAGTTTGGTAAATAAGCCACAACAGGATGAATTCTATTAGGTTTGTAAGCTAGAAACCATATTTAAAGTTGCAATAGCTAGTTTATCATACCACAAGCCAAAACCAATAAACCCATTATGTTTTAGTGTTTTATTTGAACCAGGCCATTATGTTTAAATTAAGGTTGGTAAGGTAGAGAGTGTTGTAGACTTATATATTCCTTTCTTTTCAGGTACAAGCATGAATATTATCATATTTCTGCCAATGCTAAAACTAATTTACAGTAACTAAGATGAAACCCAGCTGGTAGCATTTAGTACTGAACAGGATGCTTTGCCTAATTAATTATAATTAATGGTAAACAGGGAACTAAAGGGAAGGAGAATGCAGGAAAAAGAAACTGGGGTAGGGATGAAGAAAGGAATTGTATAAGTCTGTGCTCTGGAAATTATCAGATTTGAGTCAAAAATTACAAATGAAACACCAATATGGACATAGTGCTTGATCATTGATCATCATTCTTATCTAACTCAATGTAAACATTCTAATACAGTGCAGTTTTCACTCCACCTTCCACCCCCCCACCCCACCCCAAATCCTGCCCAAATTAGTTTGAAGCCCATCTTTGATTGCCTTTATTTCTACTGGTTTCAAAATGTTGAAAATGGGCAGAGAACACCATGAATCCATCAGTTTTCTCAGCTCAAAAGGAGAGGTCAAAGAGCATCCAGCCAATAAACTCCTGAACTCATGAAAGGTATCATGTTTTGAAACCAGACATTTTCCATTTGCCTACTTTTAGGCAAGGAAACCAAATGCACAAGTACAGTATAAGTGGTACCTAGCTCAATAGTAGTAACTGTAAGAGGGATCTTGGAGTCCTAATAGACAATAACTTAAATATGAGCCTGCTACAGCTCCTACCATCCCTGTCCTACTGTTCCCATTTATTTGTACTCATATATTATGTATATACTTATACATGTTTATATTTATACGTTTATATGTTATGTTCATACTTATACTTGTTTTCTCATACATGCTTGACAAACTAACTAACTAAATAAATAAGCCAACACAGTTCTAGGCTGCATAAACAGAGGGATAGAAGATCACATGAAATGTTAATACAATGTTATAATGCTTTGGTAAGGCCACACTTGGAATAGGCAATCCAGGGGTGGGATTCTACCACTTCGCACCTATTCGCTAGAACTGGTTGTTAACATTCTAAGCAGTTCAGAGAACTGGTTGTTAGAAGAAATTACTGGCCTAATCCTGTAAGGAAGGCAGGAAGGAAACATTCTGGTGTTGCTTACGGAAACTGCCTCTCCATTAACCCTTATTACATTCTTGGCAGGGCTAAACTTCTTGTCTCAGGAACCTCTCTGGAGTTTCCCCCCCCTCCTTTGCTGGTACTTTGTTTGTGTGGAGTGACCATTCAAAGTTACAATGGCACTGAAAAAAGTGGCTTATGACCATCTTTCACACTTACGACTGTTGCAGCATCCCCACAGTCACGAGAGGCAGGTGAGGAGATACATGGCTCAATGTGAGTGATGTTGAGTTGGCCACGCCCAGCCAGAAACATGACTACCAAGCCACGTCCACAGAACCAGTTGTTAAAAAATCTGAATCCCACCCCTGCTGCATTCAGTTTTGATCACCACAATGTAAAAAAGATGTTGAGACTCTAGAAAGAAGTGAAAAGAAAAGCAACAAAAATGATTAGGGGACTGGAGGCTAAAATATATAAGAACGGATGCTAGAATTGGGTATGTCTAGTTTGATGAAAAGAAGGACTGGGGTGACCTGATAGCAATGTTTTGATATCTCAGGGATTACCATAAAGAAGAGGGAGTCAAGCTATTCTCCAAAGCACCTAAAGGCAGTGGGTGAAAACTAATCAAGGAGAGAAGCAACTTAGAACTAAGGAGGAATTTCCTGAAAGTAAGAACAAGTAACCAGTGAAACAAATTGCCTCCAGAAATTGTGAATGCTACAACACTGGAAGTTTTTAAGAAGAGATTAGACAACCATCTGTCTGAAATAGTATAGGGTTTCCTACCTGAGTTGGACTAGAAGACCTCCAAGGTCCCTTCCAACTCTGTTATTCTATTCTATTCATTTTGGTTGTTTTTAAATCTTACACTTTTCATTTTGGCTGTGGTTGTAGTTATAGAGTATAAGCGGAGAGTCTTGAAAGCAAAAGGAAAATATGGACATGAAGCTGTGCATTTAAAAAAAAAACAGTAATTATGGAATTTATAGAGAGGATTTGTTATTAGGATTATTCTATTCCTTAACTTGGTTTGGCTGCAGCAGTAACAGATATCTGTGGTTTCTAAAGGGCTTTTCCCCCCAATATTGCTTAACCCTTCTCAGACTCTGAACCAAAGCAAATAAACAAAATGGGTTTTAGCTTAATCACCCTATCACCACCATATGCCTCTTGCTGCCTTGGAGAGGCAATAGTCCCAGAGGGGAAAAATGTCCCCCCCCCAAATATTTTAATGGAAGTGTCCGAAAATAAAGGGATAAATCAACCAATAAAACTGAATAGATATAATCTTTTTAATGTGGCCCAATAATCATTTCCAGCAATTTAAGGAAGTTGAAATCTTGCAAAAGACCCTTTTTAAAAAAAAAAAATGAACAGATGTTTTGAGCACAGATTGCTGGATATCCCCAACACAATCATAACAAATCTCTATCTTTGCACTTCTGCTCTATAAAGAAAATATTAATTTTAATGGCATTTATGACATCCCGTGCTTCTGCATTTCCTTAAATCCTACTGCAAATATTGTCAAATTGAAGTGTTGGTATGGCTTTTGCTGCAGTCTGCTCCAATTAATAGCCAGATGGGGTAGTGTTTAACAGCATCAAGCAACACATATTGCCCTGTTTATAGTCCCTGGTTGAGGATCAGTCTATGTAAAATATAGTCACAAATTTTGTTCAAGTAAAAGTTGCTGCTTCATTTGAAGTCTGTGTTTCAGTGAAAATTGTCTGCACTGGGAAGATAGGATTAGTTAGAAGCTGAGACAGAAGCTGTGCTACCCTGGAACTGGTGTCTCATCTAATGAAATTCAGTATAGAGAAAAGTAAAGTCCTACACTTAGGGAAGGAAAACCCAAGGTACACATATATAGGCTGGGTTAAACAAGGCCTCAATAGCAGTAACTGTGAGAAGGATTTTGGAGTCTTAGTGGACAACCAGCTAAATATGAGCCAGTAGTGTGCAGGAGCAGCCAAAAAAGCTAATGCAATCCTAAATTGCATTAACAGACAGATACAATCGAGATCAAGTGAGGTACTAATACCACTCTATAAAGCCTTAGAGTACTGCATCCAGTTTTGGTCACCACACTATAAAAAAGATGTTGAGACTCTAGAAGAAGTACAGAGAAGAGCAACCAGGATGATTAGGAAACTGGAGACTAAAACATATGAAGAAAGGTTGCAGGAACTGGGCATGGCTAGTCTAGTGAAGAGAAAGACCAGGAGAGACATGATAGCAATGTTCCAATATTTGAGGGGCTGCCACAGAGAGGAAGGAGTCAAGTTATTTTCTAAAGCACCTGAAGGCCAGACAAGGAATAATGGATGGAAACTGAACAAGGGGAGATTTAACCTGGAAATAAGGTGAAACTTTCTGACAGTGAGAACAATCAACCAATGGAACATCTTGCACTTGGAAGTTGTGGGAGAGCCATCACTTGAGACCTTCAAGAAGAGATTGGACTACCATTTGTTCAGAAATAGTGTAGGGTCTCCCGCTTGGGCGGGGGTTGGACTAGATGACCTATAAGACCCCTTCCAACTCTGATTATCTGTTATTATTATTATCTGTTATTAATTTAGATTTTTTCAATTGAAAAGGGGGTGGAAGGAAAAACAGCATGAGTGAAACAGCACTAGCTAGGGTCTCATGTTTATTTCCAAGAATGCTTCCCACCAAAGTCCCACTAAATATGGTAGAATATTCAGTGAAAATAAAAATGGAAGATTACTCCAGGACTTGCCCAGAAATAAAACAGCAGTAATTTGAGGAGATAGATAACATTTTGTGTGATCAAAGGGGCTGGTGGGAAACATGCAGAGGTGGGATTCTACCAGTTCGCACCTATTCGCTAGAACCGGTTGTTAACATTCTAAGCAGTTCAAAAACCTGCTGTTAGAAGAAATTACTGGCCTAATCCTGTAAGGAAGGCAGGAAGGAAACATTCTGGTGTTGCTTACAGAAACTGCCTCTCTGTTAACCCTTATTACATTCATGGCAGGACTAGACTTCCTGTCTCAGGAACGTCTCTGGAGTTTTTTTCCTCTCCTTTGCTGGTACTTTGCTTGTGTGGAGTGACCTTTCAAAGTTACAATGGCACTGAAAAAAGTAACATGACCATTTTTCACACTTACGACTGTTGCAGCATCCCCATAGTCATGAGGGGCCAGGTGAGGAGATGCCTGCCTTGATGTGATATTGAGTTGACCACATCCAGCCAATAACATGACCACTAAGCCATGCCCACCAACTAAGCCATGCCCACAGAACCAGTTGTTAAAAAAATTGAATCCCACCCCTGGAAACATGTTTTAATAAAGTGGAAGTTCTTTGACTAGCCACCTCTGCTGTTTGGAACAATTTTATGGGAGTTCTTGTGAGATGCTTTCAAAATTCTAAAGCTACTCACTAGCTCTCAAAAGTTTAGAGACCCTTGCTTTAGCTGTTCATAAAAACATATATTTCCTGGCCACAAAGTGTTAATACTAGACTTTTCTCACAACATTTACATTTGTTTTCCATTCAGAATCAATTCAGAAGTATTCCTTTAGAGTTTTTCCAGGGCTGCCTTTGCATTTACATTAAAAAAACAACAACACAGTAAAGGTCTCCTTTGACCCAATGTTTAGTCACAACTGATTCTAGGGGGCAGCACTCATCTCTGTTTCCTAACTGAGGGAGCCAGTGTTGTCCAAAGAATTTTCATGGTCATATGACTGGCACGACTATATGTCGAGGTGTACAGAATGCTGTTACCTTCCCATGGAAGTGGCACCTATTTATCTACTTGTATGTACATAGTTTCGAACTGCTAGGTTGGCAGGAGCTGGGGCAAGTATGGGAGCTCATCCCATACTTGAGTCTTGAACTGTCAACCTCCAGCCAACAAGCCCAGAATCTTCATCCCTCGGCCACCATGCCCCATGTTCACTTAGCTTGCCTCTATCCCCATAGCACCATGATAATCTATTACAATGCCAGTAGCTTTCTGGGCATTCATTCTTCCAAAACTCCTTGAATGTGAAATAGTGTTGGTGCTGCAGTGAGAGCTAAGCATTATTGCATATTCCGCATTATTGCAGAAACAACGGAAGAGGATGAAGGAAAACCAGAGAGGGAGATAGTTAGTTAATCTGGGATAAACTGACCTTGTATCCCATGACATCTGACTCATTAGCTAAAGGCTTTACAGGCTCCCATCCCAGGGAAACATGAGAACCATCTTGAACCCACATAATGTTCGGTGCTTGACTAGGTGCTAGAAAAAAAATTGGAAAAAAAAAACATGTTAAAGGATTTTGAAGTATTTTTTTTTTCAAAAGCTGCAGGGAGGGGGAAGGCAAGGAGCAAATGTAATTACTTGCTCCAAACTTAATAGCTACCGATGACTCGTTACATTTCCTTGTGCTGTTCCATGTAAAAAATACTTAGCTTTGTTTTCCAGAAAGATAATTACTTGTTGCTCACAAATAACAATAATAACTATACTTTTTTTTTAAATTCTTGGCCCTTGAAATGGGATTATGGATTATTCTAACAACAAGTTAAGAGTCCTTTTCTTGGTCTCATTATTTAATATGTAGCTAAAATAGAGAGAGAGAGAAAAAGGAGAATTGAAAGGCAAAAATTGGTAGCCTACGAGATTTCTTAGTGGCCACATGGACGGTGTTGCTTGGTGGTCCATAGCCTGCTGAGTTGTATGCCTTCACTCTCAGGTGGTACAGGGTGTTGCCTTCTAGCCCTGTGAGGATGACAGAGGACTCATTGCCTTCTGACCTGGCCTTCTCTGATGCTTCTTCTTGTTCCATATCTTTCCAGTAGCCAACCTGCCAATGAAAGACAATAGGTAGAGTAAGGATCATTTGTAAAAGGCCCCTACGCACTTAGGGTTACGCTTACTATTTATAGCCTATCTTTCTTTTAATATTCTTTAAAATAGATCTTCAGTCTTAGGAGGAACTTTTTTGGGGGCGGGAGGGAACCTGACAATTGATCATGAGGTAAATGTTGTCAGTGGTGAATTTGTATGAACAGTTCACTGTTGACTTCTGTCTATCCAAATTGACAATGAAAGGGAATCAGATGGTATTTCTCAAATAATTGATTTTTATTCAGGGGCTATCAGTTGTTAATCCTCACTGTAATCAGTTTTTTCCCCCATATTTCCATATCTCCTGTCCAGAAATGTGAGTACTCTAGTTCTCAGAAGCAGAAAGTTGTACTCCAAACATACCTAGAAGATAAGTAATTGAGTAAATAAATAAATAAGTAATAAGTAAATAAATAAATTCAAATGAATAAGATATAGGAAAAGGCAAAAATTGAATGTTCATCATTTTTCATACTTCAGATGACTTAACATCCATGGGGAATTCAAAATGGCGACTGCTACCATTTATTAGCTTGCAGGAAGTATGTATAGTACAATGAAAGCTAATGGCACTTTTGTTTCCTTACATTATATGTTATGATTCCCTGGCAGCGGCTTTCCAAATTATTCTCGTATCTAATTGGAAGAAATCATGAATCAGATGCTATGAGTTGGGGTATTTCTCTAGATTAGATTGAGAAAAAATAGCTAGTTGAGTCTTTGGAACTCTCTGAGCTTGGTTATTTGCTTGCAGACATTCCATTGCCTGATGTGATAGAATGTAATCTGAAGTCCCAGGGGGAAGAGACTGATTTTCAGAGGTCAAAGAGGCAACCAAACTTGGTAGGCAGATCAAGACAGCCCCTCCCTAGCAGTTCACAGAGAATATTTATAATTATGCAGATAGTTGCTTCAGTCTGGCAAGACTGGTGTGAGGCCTCAAGAATGACACATGGAGTTACTTTTGTTTCCTTTAATGCTGTTCACTTATAGACAGAATCTTGCCACACTAAAGCAACTATCTGCATCTCTCTCTCATTCTCTCGTCTATCTATCTATCTATCTATCTATCTATCTATCTATCTATCTATCTATCTATCTATCTATCTATC